TTCTGGTTGTGTTTACTGACCTCGAGACGATTTTATGTGATACACGGCGCTCGAAAATCTGTCAAATGTTTTAGTGCGACTTTGCTAAGATATGAACCCGCACCGCTTGATGGATTGTTGGAGCATTACGGTTACCGTAGGCCGGAGCCTCGCGGAGTGATACGTACTGTGCTTCAACATATAATACCGTATTGCATGTGTATAAGCTCTTTTTAAGTTTTGTGGATATTATACATGGTTATGCTGAGGATATGTCGGCCAATTTCCACTGGAAATGCCTTTTGGTTAAACTGTCAGCAAGGAATTTGCATTTGTGCTGTTATGTTTTTATACAACTTTAATGTAAAAAAAACAGCTGCTTGTTTAAGTGAAAATACATTGATGGGGTTTTTTTGCACTAATAAAATTGTGGAGTTGTAAAGTATTTTGTCTAGTATCAATTATATCGTCAGTTATATCGTTATCGCAAATTTTCAAATCTATATCGTGATAAATGACTGAATTCATTTTATTAAGTGCTTTTAAATCTAAACTACGAATCCTTGAGGCCAAGTCCATAACATGTAACTGTTTCAATTAGATTGATTGTCATTTTAACTGACTTTTTTATTTTTATTTGAATTTTATTTTTTATTTTATTTGTATTCTTTCACTTATTGTTGCATGTGTGTTGTTGCTGCCTGTGTTTGAGTAATTTCTGTAACTGTGAGACATCTGCTGCTGCCTATCTTGGCCAGGTCTCCCTTGAAAAAAAGGTTTTTAATCTCAATGGGATCTTCCCGGTTAAATAAAGGTTAATAAATAAATAAATAAATATTTTTGGTCATATCGCCCTGCTCTAGTTGAGGGGTCAGAAAGCACTCGAGTCAATAAGCCTTGGGTACCCAAGTCCAGTTCACCCATTTTCCTTTAGCCACTTTTTTTTTTTTTTAGACACCAAAACATTTTATGCGCCACGTTGTGATTTGATATTGCTTGTGTTTCACCTTTAAGCACGCCCTTTTCTTTTCATCCACTTCCTTGCCTTCATCCTCTTCTTTTTTCGTCTTCATCTTCTTTGCCTTCTTCTCTGTTTTTGTCCTCTTCATTGTCATTTTTTGCTTTTGCCATTCTCCTTTTTGGATTTTTTTTATCTTCATCTGCCTCCATCTCACTTTAACACACTCTTCTGTCACACCAACCTTCTGCATGTCTTCCTTTGCTACAGTCGTGAACTTCCTCTGTGTTCTACCTCCTTTCCTTTTGCCTGGCAGTTCTTTATTCAACATCCTTCGTCCAGTACGTCCACTACCCCTCCTCCTTGCACATGTCCAAAACCATCTCAGCCTTGCCTCTGTAACTTGGTTTCCAATCCTGTTATAGTCAGGACCCATCTGGGTCACTCCCAGTGAAAATCTTAACATCTTAAACTCTGCCCCCTCCAACTCAGAGCTGGAAGTTCAGTCATAGTTTTTAAATAATATGACAACAAGAAGACGAGTATAATAAAATGTGAAAAAAATCAAGGCTTCTGATTTTCATAAATGAAAGCTTTCTGCCCATTTGACAGCTCACACACACATATAACACAAATGAATTCAAACTATTTTGTTACCTCAGCCCTGCGATATGTGGCTCTGTTCTTTTCTTCAGGTCGTCTGACTGTGTGGGGACAACAAAAACAAATAATAAAAAACAAATAATAAAAAACAAATGATAAGACACTGGAATAAATCAGAGTGAGGATGAATGAAAAAAAAAAACCTGTTTAAATTTATACAGGTCGTTTGATTTTTCATGGAAGTTTAGCTCCAGCAGCTCTTTCTTGAGGTTCTCTGCGAAGGCTTGGCTGCTGATGAAGTTTCTGAAGATGCAGTGAGGGAACGGTTGGCAGTCCAACTCCAGATCGCCTGCACAATAATTACACACACACAAAGGAAACTGTGTAAACAGCAAAGTTAAGAAATGGGCAAAACAAACGTGGCAAGATTTTCTTTAGAAGAGAGACAGAAACTTAAAATACTACACTGACCACGGCCACTGTCCAAGTGATCGCTGCTTTAATTTCCCGGTCAACTATACATAAATTGCTCGTCGACACGGTGTTTTAAAGCTGGTGAACTAGACCAGAAATCATTGATAACAAAAGAACAATAAATCTTCTTTCTCCGGTACTTTATACGGGTTGCAATGCAATTTAACGCTCAACTACAAATCAATGGCTTTTTGATGGTGACGGGCGCGGAATGATGGTCAACTATAAATCGACATTTTCTCGACGTTGTTTTTGTCACCTGGTCGACTACAAATAGATCAAATATCAATGACAAAAAAAACAACGGTAAATCAACATTATTACAACGTCCCTATAGTAAGACCGTCGGTTTACCACAGTATTCAATGTTGTTACAACAGTGGCATTTCAACCCTGACCATAACATGGAAAATCAACATCAATTCACTGTCGTCTTGCTATCTGGGGGGTCTTTACAATCTGTGAGGGCAAAGTTTCAGAACAATGATTAAAGTTTAATTTGGGGGGATGTTTTCTGCCTATATTAGTTATTATAGCAAATGTTAGACAGGAAAGCAGGAAGAGAGGGGGCGTACTGTTGTATTACAAGATACTGATTTGACAACTATGGGGAGAGGGCATGCAGGTCCCCACTCCGGTTATAGTAAAAAATGTTACAGTAGGAACTGTTTCTGTTATGTATTGCAGTGTCCACTATCACGTAGCTCTCTGTATAAACGTCAGAGAGGGTTTATTCCAAATTTGCTGCTCCTGATTGAAGCAGATCTCCCAACAAATTCGTCAAAGCTGCAGGTTTCTGAAGACTGATTAACAGCTGCAGATAAATATCTGAAGCTGAACTTTGGTCCTCTCACTGACCGTGGCTGTAGGTAGTCTTGCGGCTCCATGCCTCCGTGACGGCTCTCTTCACCTGCTCGTCTTCTACGGCTGCGCAGAGCTCCGCCGGCTCCTCGCGGCTCTCCTTCTCGCTCTTTTTCTTCTTCTTCTTCTTCTTCTCGTCTGTGCTGCTGCACTCGTCCTGTGGTCGTTTGGTGGTGGCCATTACAGAAACCTGACACGAACTTTCAAAACACGCGTGGACATGGCCTCGCACTACGCGTCGCGGATAAATGACGTTATTAACTCTTGTAGTTTGGCCCCGAGTGCAGACTGTCAGGCAGAACTGAACCATGACTATAATATTCACACCAAAATAGAACTTTTAGGATCTGATTTCAGGGATTTACTTTATTATATTTTTTTACCTCTTTAGCTTTCGGAGGATTAGGTAATAAATCTATTACAGCAGCCAGGTAAGAAAGCATATTAAAGATATAGCTAGTATTGCTGAACAACTTGTATAAAGACATGGTCAGCCATTTTCAGGACCACCTCCAAGAGGAAACCTGATGAGGTGAAGCAAGTACACAAATCAAAATAAGTCCGATTCCTGTTATTTCAAGCGCTTAAGACTATTTAAAAGCAGATCTGGTGCAGACTACATAATTTGGTGCTAACCATAATCTCAAACACATGCCACAAGTTTAAAAACCCTAGAAAAAGAAACTGGGTTGTGGGGCTAAACCTTTATTGACTATGACAAGGATATTCTGTTCAATTAAACTGAGATCTGGGCTAATTAGAATAGAACGCTAACTTAATTTTCAAAATATAAACTTGACCAATACTTTCCAGTATTTTTCAAATATAATGAAAATGAAGTCTCAAATCAAAAAGTCAGTTTTTCCATGATAAAAATATTATCGAATTAATCGACTACTGTGGGTGGTTCCTGGCTCTTAC